TACGTTCGTCAAGCTTTACGCTATTCTATGTAAGTAAGCGCGGGAAAGCAATGTGGCAGGGATTAAAGTTGCTGATTGGATGTTTGTAAGGAATTATTGGACCTATCACATGTATGAGTAGCTCACATGAAACTGACGCTTGAAAACAAACAGATTAAAATGCAAAGTAAGCGCGGGAAAGCAATGCGGCAGGGATTAAAGTTGCTGATTGGATGTTTGTAAGGAGTTATGGGACTTATGACATGTATGAGTAGCTTACGTGAAACTGACACCATGAAACCAAACGGATTAGCATGCAAAATAAGCGCGGGAAATAACAGAATTATACACGGTCAACTAACCGCCCATAAAAACTCAGACCGGTCAAGGCATTATCGGCGGTTAACCGGTTAACCGGTTAATACTTGACACCTCTACCATACACTATATCAATAAGGAGTTATCTTTATGTTAGTATAGTCTCTTAAAAAACTTATTTTATTTTCTCTTCATCTATGATTTACTTTGCGCTTTTCACTGAACATCTGGGATCTTTTTAGTTATTTTATTACTAGTATGTTTTTCAGATTTGTCCTTTCTTTTGCATATTTGGGATCATTGTTTTTAGATCATCTACATTTTATTTTGGAAAAGTAACAAATTGGTTCAATTTCTTTACAAAGAGCCACTCTTAGTCTCCACTTCTACAATTGCTTCAATTCCCAATTGTACTCCACAGAGTAGCAAACAACAGAAAATGAATGGATAATGATAGCTGCATCCCAATGAACAAAATGTGATTACCTAAATCGAGGTTTCATCACTTTCATTAATCTAAAATGAATTAGAAATTATTTTTCTATTTTCAAATTTCTTCCATGTGCATGTAATAAAAATTGGTTATGTCTTAGGCCCTAAGGATCTGAAACCTGCTGGTCAAAATGGAATTACGGACCAGTTGCAATGTTATTCTCCTATACCCAGTGAAAAAATCAATTGGTCTGTATCAAAAATAACCTGATAATGACCAGCGGACCGTCCCTTAGGGGCTACATTGTAATGTGCTGTGAGGTTTAGGCTACAGGGTTTATACCGAGGGAAATATGTGGGGGACCGTATTGGCATCATTGGTTTCAATGCATTGTACTTCTGCCTTAGTTTCAAAGGCAATAAATTCTTTTTGAAGGGTGTCCTGAGATTCCAAAATTAAGAAATAATTGTACTTATTTGAGAAATTGATTTTAAAGTTTTATAAATTGAATTTTCTTTATTTTATTAAATAATATTCTTTGGATTTTGAAGATTTTTTTACAAAGCAAAACATTATTTTTCATTCTAGATACAATAACATGCATATTGGCATACTTTGTTTTAATATAAGATTGTTATAACTCCAAGTTTTGCAAGTCACATGACCAATTCTTAGAGAGTTGATTGGTTGAAACAGTTGATATCAGATATGACAATTTGAAATTAGAAATAAGCTGTTATTCCGGTGGGAAATTGTATCAACTCCATTTCCATAGTTTTAAAAAAGGATCTTGTAAATTGTTTCAAGGTATGATTTTTCATATAAGATATCTCTAGGGTGAGACCAGGTGACATACAAAAAATCAAGTTTCACATGGCAATACTAAGTAAGATACAGACCTCTAAACTTTCAAACCTTGATTTCTCAGTTCCGTAAAAATGTGAGATAGTACAAAGTTATTCTCATGCGACGATATGTCCTAGAATAACCAGAACAACGGCAACGCCAAAGCGTAGCGAATCCCATCGAACAGAAATGGCTGGCATTTTTACAAACTAAATATATCACAAATATCATAAAATAACACACATAAGAAAGGCCACAATTTTCAAAATGGTTGCTCACTAGCCAAGTTGTCATCAGAAGTAATATGCTTTTTTTCTAGCATTCACAACCAAATATGAACAAAATCGCTCCACTACTTTTCGAGTTATAGTAAAATACTTTAAAATGGTGGCCATTTTTCAAAATGGCCGCCTTCTACCGAAAGTGTCATTAGACAGTGTGCCATGCTTATAGTATTCACATACCAAATATGAACAAAATCGCTCCACTACTTTTCAAGTTACAGCAAAAATTGTAAAATAACAAGTAAAGGCCGAGTAAAATACGTTTAAATGGCGGCCATTCATTAGACAGTGAACCATGCTTATAATATTCACATACCAAATGTGAAAAAAATCGCTCCACCACTTTTCAAGTTATAGTAAAATACGTTAAAATGGCAGCCATTTTTCAAAATGGCCACCTGGTATTATTACACCAAAAGTAGTGCGAAAATGGCCTTTTCACGTGTTGGCATAAAGTTTTGATGACATTTAAAGACATAGTTCCTCTTTCACGTATATTATCTCATGGAAATGGGCATACCAGCGCAAAGATCTTTGTTCCGTGGTGAAGAAAAGCTATCAAACATTGTCTGAAGAGCAGATTTATCTCCGTAATTCTACTTTTAGCATGGCGACCTTGACCTTGAAAAAATATAGCCATTTGGGCGATAATAGGTGATTCCAAAGTGAAAATGAGTGCTTTTTTCGTAGTTTTACTTTGACCAAGCCTAGAAAAAAATCGAAGTGGTAAACCTACCCCCAATTTTTGATATTTTTGTTGTCTAGAAGTGTCCTAGATGATATCAAAGTTTAAGAAAATTTGTATGTCTAGAAATATTTTATAAATTAGTGCCATTATGGTGGGTTTGGGTGCTTTTTTGCTCTCATTTTTTAGCCCATTTCTATGGTTGCCATGGCAACTATTAGGCTTTGGTGACCATGCCAACTTGATTTTTGAAGGACATCCACCTGATAGTAGTTGGGCCAAGTTTGATTGAAAATGGGCCTGGTTTGATATGCTGGCAGTGAGGTTGATTGTGGCAAGTAGTAAAACGGCAAAACAATGGGGGAGTCATACCATTATTTTGCCGCATTTTGATGCTAAATTTTCACTTTATAATCGTTTGGTACCGTCGTGAAGTCACAATATAGCGTCTGACCTCATGATATGGGTACCAAATTGAAGCGGACGTGACAAGCTTTAAGATGGTACCAAACATGTGACCATTCATTTGATTAAAATGATAACTTGAATAAGCTCAAAAGGTGTGTCACTCCCCTACCCCATCCATTTTCAGGCCAGTGAAAAACGCCAAAATCTCAAATAATCCAGGCATCTTCAGGGATCGTTTTTTGGCCCCGTTTTATTCAAAATATCATGTTTCCGGATACCATTTTTATCAGAAATGTCTCAATTACCTAAAAACAATTACACTAGTGCTGAATGAGAAAACATGCCCCCACCTTCTACCAAAAGTGCCATTAGACAGTGTGCCATGCTTATATTATTCACATACCAAATATGAACAAAATCGCTCCACTACTTTTCGAGTTAAAGTAAAATACGTTAAAATGGCGGCCATTTTTCAAAATGGCCGCCTCCTACCAAAAGTGTCATTAGACAGTGAGCCATGCTTATAGTATTCACATACCAAATATGAACAAAATCGCTCCACTACTTCTTGAGTTACAGCAAAAATCGTAAAATAACGAGTAAAGGCCGCCATTTTTCAAGATGGCTGCCATGTGCTTCTTTAATATCTACATTTCTAGCTTTATCAATGTCCTAAATAATTTTTTACATTTAAAACATATTGCTATTACATTGCTGATATCATGTGTATAAGTGAAACATTTCTTAAGCATGACCAACAGTTGTCTGTTCCAAACTATGTTTGGTACGGCAATAATCGTAAATTGTTACATGGTAATGCACGGAGAGGATCTGGAGGTGTTGGTGCTCTGGTACATGACTTACCAAGAAAATATTTAATTGGTCTAGAAATAGAGAAAAATCGTGGGAAAAATGGGTCAAAAGAATTCTAAATGTGAATGATCTTAGGAATATCAGTTCTGTTAACTGTACATTGGTACCACAGGTAAAAAACGTGGTGAAATCGTTTCATAGAAAATATGTAGAATCAGAACAATTACACTGGTACAGGGATCTATGGAACGATAAGAACAACTGTGAAAATGGTAACAAATTACGCACCTATAGATTGCATAAACAACGTTTATATACAGAAAACTATGTTGAAACAAATTTACCAAGACCCTATAGAAAGGTTTTAGCATCTTTAAGGTGTGGTACACTACCTTTGAATATTGAAATAGGACGATATACTAATCCTAAAACACCATTACAGGAACGGTTATGTAAAATGTGCAATTCTCAAGTTGTTGAGTCAGAGATTCATTTTTTGACAGAATGTCCATTATACACAGATTTAAGAAACGAAATTTTAGAATACATGTTATCAATTGACAAAGATTTTTTAAATTTAAATGCTTTAGCTCAATATTGTAATATAATGACTTCCTGTAATAATTTTATTTTAAGCAAATGTATTTTTAAAATGTGGCGTAGAAGACGCATTTACCTGTAGTCACTCATAAGTCGGCAACGGCTGGACATATTTGTTGATTTGTATTTTATCTTATGTATTTTATTTGTATTATATGTGTGTGACTTAAATAAACTATTTTTAAACTAAACTAAACTATTACAGTTTTACATATTGCACCTAAATTACAGTAAAATCGGCACTAAAATGGCCGCCATTTTTAAAAATCGGCTTTCAAGCAAAACTTCTACCCCCATAGGGTATATGTGTACAAAATATGAACAAAATCGGGCCAACGGTATTTGAGTTATTGCCCGGACGGACGGACAGACAGACGGACGGACGGACGTACGTACAGACGTACGGACGGACGGACGGACGGACGGACGGACGGACGGACGGACGGACGGACGGAGGCGTTCCCTATATCCCTCCGAACTTCGTTCGATGGGATAACTTTCCTAACTGGACTTTAAGTCCACCATTTTAGCCAATTTAACCGGACAATTAATTCAACCTAATCCTCCATCTTGTTCATAATAGCCTCTGCTGACCAAACCCCTAAATTCCAGTATTCTAATTGGCTACTAACAGGCTAAGACCGTGACCTTAGAGCTATAGGATCTGCAGGGCCTTCAAACTATTCTGCAAGGAGTTCTTGCCACCAAATTCAAAAGTTGGAAAAGTTAAAGTGAACTTTATAAATCTTACAAAATAAATCAAAATGCAATTAATGACCCTCACAAAGTATTTGTAATAATTGAGAGGCTATAAATAATAAAAGTAACAACGAGGGTTGTTACAGTACCTTGGAACAACCCACGATTTTTGTGTCTTAAATGTCTAAATGAAACGTTTCAGTGGCGTAGCCAGCAATTGGTGACCAGGGGTTCGATTTTTTATGTATCCACAAATCCCCCCTTCATCGGTGTTCCTCACATAAAAGTATTTTTTGTACATACAATTTACACCCCTCCAAAAGTTTGGCAACAATTTGATAGTTTTTGGTGAATCTTTTACTGAAAGATATTGAAATCTGGTAGCAAAATCATACATTTTATATAACAATTGTTTAATTGTTCAATGAAATCCAAATCAAGGGTTAGCATACATTGAGACAACTTTTGTAAAGGGCAAATTACAACATATCTCTAAGGAACATATTTTTTAACGAGCTACCATTGAAAAATCGTCATTCCAAATTCATCATTCAAAAATATGTCAAATTCTGGCATGCTATTCCCACACTTTTAGATGATTTTTGAAAATAATCCAAATCAAAAGAATTTTATCTGCCATTTCATTTTGTAATAGAGGAGTTCATAATGACCTCATGAACTTACAGTTAGTTTCTGAATACTAGTATATTCAAAAGCAAATATTTTTGACGAATGTAATACTTATTTAATCATGGCGCACAATAAAAGTCGTAATGGCTGCACGAATACTCTCAATTGGTACTGACGATAGAAGTGACAGATGACAAATAGTATTGTATTAATGGAATGAAACATAGGCTGAAATTTAAAAAAAAACAAATTGAAATAACAAAATATCCACTGTGCTCTGTAGGCTCTAACATTAAACATCTCTCTTAAATTTCAATGCCTTGCAACAAATAAAGAACAACTAATGCTGAAAAACTTATTTGTTGTGCTTTCTTTGAATTGAAAATAAAAACTGTGAAAAAATTCCATTTTCTATCACCGTTCCGCTTATTTTATCATTAATGACGAGAATCATGAAATGATCCCTATCTCAGCTTATGTGTGCCCGAGCACTTTAATATTTTCCAAAGTATTATGACATTCTATTCTTCATGTTACACCTAAGAATAATTCATTTTGACCATAGGGATATTTGCCAATACTCAAACCTCTTCCTTTACTATTTTTTCCTATTGGTCATATAAATTGAATATATGTTTCTGGTTATTGAAATGAATTTTTCCACAAATATTTTTTTGGGAGAAATCCCGACCGGGGGTTCGTCCGAACCCATCGAACCCCCGGTCCCTACGGCTATGACGTTTTAAGTTTGAGTTATGTTTTAAAGGTCAAAACGCACCCGTCTACAACGTGATGTTAGATCAAGTTATTTTCGTTTATGTTTTAACTTCAAGTTCTTACTTGGGAGCAACATGGATATATTAACAGTCATTGTCGTAGGAATTGTTCTGTTCTTCGGATGGTGGTATGTGCTACTAAAACCTAGATCTGGTTTACCCCCAGGGTTGCCACGTCTACCCATATTAGGAAGTCTCCCGTTTCTTGATGCAGACGACCCTCTGAAATGTTTCCTACAATTGAAGAAGAAGTTTGGGGATGTGTTCACTGTTTATATGGCAAATAGACCTGTTGTCTACCTAAACAGTTATGACAGTATAAAAGAGGCACTCGAAAAAAAAGGCGAGAACTTCATGCATAGACCCTATTTGTTCATGCTTACTGAATCCCTCGGGGATGAAGGTAATAATGTTTATTCTCAATTTGGAGGTGGATACAATGATGAATTTTACATTTCAATAATGCAAACGGGCAAGGGAGATATCAAAATAATTAAAAAATGTTGTTGTTTACCATTTACTTTCTTATTCTAAAGATGTCTTCAATTTTTCTCCAATTCTTTATTTTTTCTATATTTCTCCAATTCGTGGTTCATACAATAGAAATTACATTTATAGATTATAATGATGTTTTTCATCGTTTCCATTTCAGGAAAGACCTCTTATGCATCCTCTTCGGGGAGAGAACACAAGACAATTCGTCACTTCACGAATAAAGTCTTGATTCGGAAATTCGGATTTGGTACCAAAACGTATGAAGACCATATTATAAAGGAAATTGAAGCCATGTTTGAAGAGATTGACAAGAATGAGGGAATGTCGTATGATACATCAGACCTTATATCCATGGCCATTGCAAATATGATAAATGTTGTACTATATGGACACAGGTTGGAGTATAATGACGAAATTTTCGGAAACTTATTACACGGTAAGTATTTACTTTTCACATGTTCATTGTTGGATTGTGCTAAAAGTTCGATCCTGGGTGATAGGGGGGGGGGGGGGGGGGGTGACGGGCGTGTGGCAATGTTTCATAGTAATTTAGATCACTCCTTATGACAGGTTCAGGTTTGAAATGTTTTTTTTTATTTTTCTTACTTTCTGGGCCTCACCCTTTGATTAATATGTGCTTCTTTACGCATACAGCGCTTCAACAATTTTGCATCGACATGGAGACCGGTCAGATACTCAACATATTCCCTTGGTTGAGGTATATGCCATGGCAAAGATCTATTGTCGACAAAATGGCTAAGCGTAAAGTTAATCAGAAGCATATTATGGAACAGATGATACAAAGACATGAAGAGGGACACGAAGACGTTCAAAACAGTTTCATGACAGCCTGGCTTGATAGAATGGAAAAAGAGAAAAGATCTTCCAACCCTGAACCTGTTTTCAACAGTAAGTTACATAGGTATTGACTGAAATAAATTTCTAATATGCAAAGGTACTTCTCACCTTTGAATATATGGTTTATGTGGTCATGTAGCAAGAAGGACCTTCGTGAGACAAGAAGGTCTGTTCTGCAATGATGATCCCTTGTCAGAAGGTAATATCAGACGATGTATATATTAAAACGATAAAATAAATCTTGCCCCATGGCCTTTCTTACCCCGCTGTCCCTAGCATGAAATATTTATTCTTTCAAGATGTGCAAATGCGTTTGGTTATGAACGATCTATTTTCTGGGGCATCAGAGACAACAAAGAATAGCATTTATTTCCTCCTAGCATATATGCTGCACTTTCCTAATCTACAAACAAGGGTAAGTTCAAAATAGACTTCTATCTCAGCTGTCCACAAATGCACCGTCGATGTCTATCAATGCATCAATTATGTATATCAATGTATCAATGATATCTATCAATGCACAAATGATGTCTATTAATGTATTACATGACTGATTCTTATCAATGCATCACAAATGTTCATCCATGCATCAATGATGTCTATCAATGCATCAATAATGTATACTATAGTATCAATGATGTAGTATCATCAATGCAAAAATGATATCAAATAATGCAAAAATCATATCAATCAATGCAAAAATGATATCAAATAATGCAAAAATCATTTCAATCAATGCAAAAATGAATGATGTCTATCCGTGCAAAAATGATGACTATCAATGCAAAAATGAAATCAATTAATGCAAAAATGATGTCTATCAATGCACCAATGATGACTATCAATGCACCAATGATGTTTATCAATGCACCTATGATGACTGTCAATGTACCAATGATGACTATCAATGCACCAATGATGAATATCAATGCAAAAATGATGCCTATCAATGCACCAATGATGACTATCAATGCAAAAAATGATATCTTTCAGTGCGTCGTTGCTATCAGTGAAATTAATAACTGTCAAATGGCTTGATGGCCTGCAAAGGTGATATATTTTAAAATCGTATTTTAGATACAAGCAAGCATTGATGAGTATATTGGGAAGACGCTGTTGCCTACGATGGAAGATCGCAAAAAATTAGTTTTAGCGGAAGCAACAATTCTAGAAGTCCTACGTTGTCACCCTCCCGTAACATTGGCTCTTCCTCATACCAACCTATTAGACGACACAATTGGGGGCTACCATATTCCCGCTGGTACCATGGTGATTCCTAACCTACATGCTCCACATCATGACGAAAGATATTGGAATGATCCCCATGAATTCAACCCAGAAAGATTTATTGATGGTGATGGACAGATAGATAAATTGAAATTCGACAACGTCATTGCGTTTTCAATGGGTAAGAAACAATTATCGTGAAACATTTGACCATCAACTACACCTATCTTTTACTATTGTTGATTCCTAATATAATCTTGAATATCAAATAATACGTATGCATTGTTTTCACAATTTTTATTTATATTCCTAGGCAAAAGAGTGTGTCCTGGGGAAGCCCTCGCAAGGATGGAGTTGTTTCTCACGTTCACTTCGCTACTACAGCGTTACACATTCACACTGCCCCCTGGTGAGAAACTCCCATCTTTGAAAATGAAACTTGGACTCACATTAACAATCCCGCCATATAAGATATGTGCAGTAAGAAGATATAAAAATTGAGCGAATAATGAATGCAAGCAGATTGGTTAAATATGGTGGTTATGACAAATACCTAAAGGAAATGGGCAATGTTAATAAAGTTTCTGATATTGATACTCTAGTGAACCTCAAGGTTTGTTTTTTGTCTGTCCATTTTAGATTAAATGCTCTACCTCGTACGGATACTTATATTTTCAACTATTTTTAAGTTAATAAAAATTCGATAGCATTTTATCATAGTTTAGGAAATTTGGGGTTAGTTTTCCTTATAACCGGGTGTACTCATAGATGTTATTCTTTCTTGCCCTGTTTTGTAACATTCTGAGTCTTCAAGTTGGTACTTGTGCAAGAATGATATTTGATATATTTGCCATGTAGGGTTAAGAATGAGCGACGCAGACAGTTTGAAGTCATATTTTATTATGTGTAAATTGGAATTTTGTAACAAAAACATGTTAAGGGTGGATCTGTAACATTGGCAAAAAACCAAGCAACTGTTAAAATGGTTATCGTGACACACAAAATGACATTGGCACGCCTTAAAGGACCACTACGACCCAATAAAGCATCATTTCTGTCATCTCAAGCCCAAAATATTAGCATTTAATGTGCCACGTTAAGTATCAATTCAGCAGAGGTAAAGAAGTTATTTCAAAGTATCCATGTATGTAACAATTTACCCTATGATACAACTACTTTCCGGTGAATAAAATATTTTTGATATTGAAAAAATTGAATTGTCCCTCCCAATCCCTCTCATGAAAATCGTATTCACGATACGATATGATTCAAGAAAATGTCCTGCGTCGAAATCATCTAAATCATCGTCTTAATCCTCTTCCAAAACTGAGCGGCACAAGGGTCTTTGCAAGGGACTTCGCAGAACTGTTCCGATCGACGTGAAGATCAAAATTTACATTTGATAGCCTTGCATTTGTTATTTTAAGGGTTCAAATAAGGTTATATGAAGACAAAGGTACTCTATATGTATTCCATCAGGAGCTCCGAGCATGTTGCTCTTTTATGTATAATTTTGTATTGAAAATTATAGCAAACATTTTGCGAGTATTCGATGTATAAGCAGGTTGTCTTGTTCAGGCCATATAGCCTATTTTAATGCATCTGGTTTTGGAAAGTTACTTTGCCATATCAACATTATTATTTTATCCAGAAGACTCGTTGGAAGTACCATCCGCAAATATACTGTTATCTGTAAGAGAAAGGCAAACATGACACTGTTCCGCAACTAGTTACTTTGACGTAACGTCAATGTAACAAAATGGATGAACTTCCTGGATACTGTATGAGTTTTTGTTTTCTCGATTTAAACTTACGTATAAGTCATGTTGCGGATTATCATTTGGCACAAAGTTAGACAATATAGTCTAGCTTTTAGAAATGCTCTTGGTTTGGAATTTGATTTTTTCAATAAAGCTAGCTGTAATTCGTGCATTTAGACCATCGCTTTTTTACATTGACGTAAGCCGTCAAAGTAACATATGGACTTTCGTCAATGTAACAAAAGCGAGGGGCTAAATATATGAATTGCAACTTCATACTAAACAAATTCCAAATCGAAGAAACTAAACTATATTTTCTAGCTTTGTGCCAAATTTTAATCTGCAACTTGACTTATATGTAGGTTTAAATCGAGAAAACAAAAAACTCGTAACCAGGAAGTTCATCCATTTTGTTACATCGACGTTCCGTGAAAGTAACTAGTTGTGGAACAGTGATATAGTTGTCGTATAACATTGAAACGGTTATAACTGTGACCTACGTTCTCCTTCGTTCCTGTTATATTTTACATTGGACGTATAACGTGAAACAATTGCACGGATTATGTATGGTTGCCTTGTGAATTATAGTTGTAACAACTGCTATGAACGTGCTACTTGGTACTTACCACAAAAATATCAAACCAATATCCAGAAACAAGGTATCTTTCTTTTGGAGAAATCTCTAATAGAGCGTCTGTCATATTATGAATTAGTTTGTTAAGTTTTGTAGCGGAAAGATCAACAATACCAAGTGGGGATGTACTGTTCACAGGATGGTGTACATATTCCTTTCCATATGCCAGCTTGAGTTCAGGACTAAGGGATTCCCAAATGGCGTCATGGGATGCTTTATAGTGATTGGCCTATTTTCAGAGACAAAAATATAAGTATTTAAATTAAAAAGTGTAACTTTTCTTTATTACTTGTCCCATTTTGTCAGGCTCGTTCAATCTAAGACTCTAAAATGTTATAAATTGCCAGTAATCTGTCACTCCCACTTAATTTGAAAATACTCACAGTAACAATTTTTGTACATTCTCCAAAATGACCAGGTTCAATAGCACAGACCTTAACACCCCATTGACTCATCTCTAATCTCAAGATGTCACAGAAGGCTCCCATTGCATGCTTTGTGATAACGTATGCAGAGTTGGCTGGTAGGTACATTCGTTCTTTAACACTTGTAACTACCAGCACGCGACCTAATAAAAGAATGTTAACACTGTGTATATGAATTTGGTTTTGATGAATTTCAAAAGATGGGGGTATCAGTTAGTATATGATATTACTTGATGCAACCCAGCCATTCAATCGAATTCCAATTTCCTTTTATCGCTTTGTATTTTCGAGGTATTTTCAGCATAAAGGTCCCTGGTCCCTATACTAATAAAGTAGTTTAATACTAACCTTTGGATTTCCTAATGAAGGGTAGAAAAGCTTTTGTAATACGGATGATGCCAAAATAGTTAACCTCTGCAATTTTGTAATACCATTCCATTTTACATAGTTCCACTTCACCAGGCTCCTCAACTCCTGCATTATTCACTACGGCCCACAGTCCTGAAGTCAATGTAATGTTAGATGCAAGGAATTAGGCTAGGCATAGTCAGCTGACATAGTTGGACGATGTACACACATTTTGTCCAATAGCCCTGTCATCCATTTGTTCACTGCATATTATGATAAAGGTTGCTGCTATTTACGAATCTATGAATATAAGAAATGATTAAATGGGCTAACCTGATGCATTTTGCTTGACATAATCAACTGCCTTTTGAACATCTTCATCGCTTCTCACATCAAGTTGAACAATATGTAATCTCTCGGAAGCCCCTTTTCTGAGACTTTGGGCATCTTGACCATTCGCATTGTAACATCCCGCAAATACTGTGAAGCCAAGTCCGTCTAAATGTTTGGCTAGACCATGCCCTATACCTTAAACAATGTTCCATACTGCATAAGCATAACAAGGAAAAGTACTGATAGAATAGTCTGCTTAATAATTCTAGTGGCTGGAGAAATTTCTAAGAAAAAATAATTTTCTTGTGTTATACTAATGAACGAGGGGCAATCAGACGATAAGTCTATCAAACCTAAAAAGGCGACCAATGGACCAAGTCTTGTGATCTAATATGGCAAACTACAAACGTTTTGCAATATTATTAACGTATTTTTCCTTATTATCAAAAGTTATTCCTTTGTTTGCTTATATTTTAGTTTTGATAGACTTATCAATGTGTTCACTGCCTTGGACTTACCTGTGTCACACCCAGTGATCAGTACAGCTCTGTCCTTCACATCCAGCCTTCCACCAACGAGTCTTCTGTATATTGCCACAAACAGTACTAGCAATATCGCTTGTGTTATTATCGTCCATACCAACAGTTCATACGTGAAGTATATATGTGCAGCGTAACATATCACACCAAACAGCAGCCCAAGTATGAATTCTAACATCCTTTGAATATTTCCTCTAATGGACAATCGAACACCGATGACTAACTCCACTGGGTCATTGAAGTCAACCCTATTCCTAATTCAATGCTGTATGATAAGTGTGCAATTCGATTCACTTTGTGTAGTATTATAAACTTTGAGATAACATTTACTTGTACACATAATTGTAAGTATCTATTGACTGTACTATATCAAGAGACCAGTACTCTCTTGACATTCAACATTTTATCTCTATGTCATTTGAGTAACATGTATCGCACAAATGTCATATTGTGATATATGATTCGCACAAAGATCATGAAAATTGTATAGATGATCCAATTAAACATCGCACGAAAAGTGGTACAGAATACGGTTCAGATCAATCAAATTAAACGTTGTACAAAAGTGATCAGATCGATCTAATTAAGTGTTAAATTAAGTATAAAGTGTTACAGAAAGTGCAGATATTGTGTGGTAGATGAGATAACTCGGTCAAGAAGCCCAGTAATTTTTTAAATAATATATATTAGTTCACATATAATCAACACACATATACAATGCGATTCTTATGTCCCCAAAGGCATCAACCCCTTGGCTGAGTCAGACTAGCAGACTAGCTTAATTGCAATTGATGATACAAAGTAAAGAATGTACCTTGAAGTAAGAGTATTTGAATTAAGATTTTGAATTATCTTAAACTTTATTTTTCTTCACTATATACTACGCAGTCTCCAGCTGCGCAAACGACATCTAACTCCTAATTATCACATTTTAAGCCATTCAATTCAAGTTGAATTTCTCATTGGATTGTTGGTCAGAGCAGAGGTAATGGCGCTTTGGTTTTGACAAGTCTGTTGTGGCTATTGTTGGAGACTCAAGATGTAGTAGTGATTTCATGTATACCACTTGAAGTAGTGGATATATTGTCTTTATCAATCGTTGGATTTTCTTTCCAGCCTTCCGACCTGGTCAAAGCTGAAATTAAATACAATACCATATAACTAAGTAAAACACAAACGATAAAACTAAAACACAGACACGGACAATCAAAAGACAAGAGAACGATGATTGAACTGATTTAACACCATCTAAAACAAAACGAAGCTAAAGAAATTAAGACTCGGTCAAGTATCTTGTTTCCAGAAGAACAAGTTACAGGAGACATCAAATCAGTAGAAATCATTTGTTTATACTTAGACAGGGACTATGCACATTTTTGAAGAAAAGGGATGAAATAATCTTTGAGACGTAATACTTACACGCTCAACCAAATATGATACAAACCTAAATTTAGATTAATATTAAAGTGAGAAAAAATTAACTAGCATAGAAGACAGCATTTGAAAGTTGAGAGATAGAGCATAGATGTGCATGCTCTCATTTCACAAAGTATGTTTTTCAACAACTTTTGATTTAAAAGATGGCGTATGGTTGACTTTACTATCAAAAATTAATGAATCCAGTAATGCAAACAACTTTCATTGACAATGTTAAAAAAATTTGACAGATCGAAAAAATATTTTTAATGATTTATTGTAAACGATGTGGTCCGTTTGAGTTGTTTTGGTGTATAATGAAAAATCAAGTACTTTCAATCGATTGGAAATATTATGAAGATCAAAAGTAAGACTTCATTTTGATGAAAGAATGCAGAAAATATGCATGGAATCCCTTTAGGAAACATACAACACGTTGATAGAGGGAACTTACATATAACTGTCACTAAGACGATGGCAAGAACAGCACATACGACCACACATATTGCTGCTATGTTGTATGGTCTGTTCTGCTGCTTCACCCTACTTTCTGGAGGAGGTTGAGATTGGAATATCAATGTACGGCCTGGGATAACCTCACCTTGTTCGCGACTCTAATGAGACACATATAAAATGAGTTAATGTTCGTTAATTGAACGTAACAAAATTGACTGGGTAGTTTACAAACATATCGAACTGTCAATACTATTTTAGTAAACAGTTAAAACAGTTTAGTCAACAATTACAAGTGGTAAAGTACAAGATGGACGGGGGATGTGAAGATATACCTTGTATGTTTAATATAGAAATGGAGTGATAAAAATATTATACAAGGCATTTCAAAACATGACAAAATGTCACCACATAGTTGCTCAAAATGATTTTGAAAAATTGGTCAATTTGATGCAAGTTGAAAAAAGACATTTTTGACCCTAAGAAGGTCGTTGAAGGTGAAATGTCAAATCTAAATTAAGATTTGAACTACTGAGAACTCGTGGATGATTTTGAAAAATACCTTTTTATCCTTGAGAATGTCATTGAAGGTCAAATCTTTTTTGATTGAAGGTCAAATCTCAAATCTATAGCCAGATTTAAACTTTTGAGAACTTGTAGATGATTTTGAAAAAAAAATTTGGTCAATTTGAAGTAAGTTGAAAAAATACATTTTGACCTTTTTTGACCTTGAGAAGGTTATTGAATGTCAAATCTTCTAATGTCAGATTTGAACCTCTGATAACGTGTAGATGGTTTAAACAAATTGAAGTCAGTCTAAACAGTATTTGTTAGGCTATTGGAAGTTGTAAGAATGTGTTACATACGCAAACCGCCAACCACCAACCGCCGTCAAAAAATGGAGACCACCCATAACAAAAAAGTGGTGACATAAAAACTGAGATGATTTTCCCAAATGCTACTCCGATCCAGGCCAGAGTTGTCTTTACTTTGTTACCTCTTAAAACAGGTGCATCACTCTTTATGTTATCCGTATTATAGTTGACTATATGTGATGTTATCAGTTTACAAATCTTGACTTTTGTCAATCTATTGGAAGGGAACATAGTTTAAATTCCTAGATAATAACTCCAAAACCATCGACAGAGTATATGAATTATGAAATAACGAGGAAAAAACCGAATGCCAATTTAGGGTATCTTTTAAGAAAATAAAGTCTCACCTTGAACATTGAATGATTTTCCCATTGTTGATAAAAAATGATATTATCCTTTCCTTCGTATGACGTTTCGCCACGATTATGAGGCATTCTTAAATAAGGTCAACCCCAGGTCTAACCGATCAAATTGTTTTTCTATTTATCTCAATACGTATCTATACCTTAAAGTCCGTTGGGATGAACATTCTATACAATACTACAAGTAGAAAATAGTAGGCTATTTGTATTTAAATATCTAATGACCTGACATTTCATTACTACAGGCCTAGTCTAGTAAAGTTATTTATCTGTACCCCCATCCTCTTTAGAAATGTCTCACTGAAGCGAATAGTGTACTTTTGATGTTGTGTCGGGAGAAACAAAGATAAGTTATCATTTACTTTATGTCGGTGAATGGTGAAATATCTCAACACGTCTTCCATATTAAGAATGCACAAGGATGCATGCTGATATCTAGTTTATTGGGCACTTCACAAAAATTAGTACACCTTTCAAATGTTTTAATTGCATGACAGTATCCTGTCATGATCCTCATGATGTACTTTTAGATATATTTTCTCTTCTTGCTGTGTTCTGAAACAAATTTTGGTCATTTTACGCGTGTCTTAATCCCCCACCCCCATTTTCCTCGATAAATCAGTCTTCAAAGTCCACCAGATTGAAAAATGGTAGTCTGAGAAAAAACATGGGGTAGGGTGTTCAATATATTCTGAAATTATTTTCAGACAAGAATGGAACATTGGAAGTATCCTACGACAAATAAGATAAAGAAAAACTGATTCGGCATCAAGAAAAATGTGATCTGGGAAAATCTGCCTATACAGGGAGAACTATTCTGAAATCTTATTTGTGATTGGGCCCACATATTAATGAACTTTTCAATGTCCTTTAAGACTCGGATTGATACTTCTACGCCAAAAAGGACATCATTTTGGCCCACCCTGTATGATAAGAGATGTCCGGTATTTCGAAATTGCACATTTGTTTTGAGAGATGTAACATTTGTTAATATTTTTTGTTCATGCATGTAAATGAATATGTTATTATATCAAAATGTCTATGTATGTAAAACTCACGAAGCTATTAAATGATTGCGGTTGGAATATATGAATAATACGAGTGTAAAAGAAGCGGTTGAGGGAATGATGAAATCGTGAAGTCCTACATGACTAGATAATTACAACACTCACTATGATATTACACTTGAATCCAACAAATGTTCTATCTTTATTTCTATTTTTTATTTTTATTTAAAAAATAAACAATCAGAAGACCACAGTGCAGTATCATATAAAAAATACATTCATACTTTACTCGCAAATCATCTGTATATCTTGGATTGCTTGGGGTTTGTTTAAAAATGTATGGCTTCTTATATTTTGATGTTTCTCTGCCACGTTATTTCGAAAAAATAACATGTCTGAAACTCCCTTAATTAAAATAGGTCACAGGCTTATGATATATAAAACTAATATATATATATATTTTATTTTTAGATTTTATTGACATCGCATGGTTTTTCTAGAATGAGTTTTAAAATGAATTTTACCTGCATATGGATGTTGATTGGGGATTGCATGATGGATAGGCCGCATGGGCTTTGCATGTATGTGATTTTACTAAGGGGTGGGTTCGATCGGGTAGAGTGACTCATTTATCATATTTTGAGTCACTAGAAATAAATGACAGACCATCTAAGAACATATTGACACCCAATTTTCGAAAAACAAACATAATTTTAGCATTTATCATTTTTATATAAAAGTGATCTATTAATATCTTAAATTTTATATGAGAGATAATGCAAAATGCCGATGCAATGAATCCATAATTTTCTTGTGTTTTAGAGAAAATTACCTCAAATTTATAGCTTGAAACCTAAATAATGTATTTGAAATTCATTTTATATTACTTTTGTCGCATTATGTACTCCAAATTGTATTGGAGTTTAGTATTTGGTAATTTTTGACCTCTGCTAATGACAGGATAATTCAGCCTAAAAGCCGGAAGTATATTAAACAGTTATGATGACAATGCACACACATGTACTAATGTGTACTATGTAGGTATGTAAATACTTAGGCGGTTCAAAAAGTTTTGCAGTTGATGCCATAACATCAAGGAGAATAGGACTCCTTGATACAATGAAACTTGGTACACATATGTGTTATACATTTATACATGAAATGTTCAAATTTGGGACCTCAATTTTGATTGGTTCTTGAGATATGGTTGCTATAGTAACCAGAGTGGTGGGTACCATGTTCAACCCGAAATTACGTTTTTCCAAATAGTTTTCTTGTTTGAATAAAGTCTTTGTAAAGTGGCAATTAGCAGGTGTAAGTGTCTTTGGGTGGCTATTTTTCTTCAATTTTTCGAATTGTCTCTATGACATCACAATATACAAGTGACATGATAAGTTCCTTTGTGATGTATACTGTTCAAAACCCAGTTGAAAAATTGAGATGGAAAAGTGAGGAAATTTTGAATTTAGTTTCCAAAATTTTCAAAATGGCAGATGTTTCCACACCAGCCAAATTGATGAAATGGAAGCATAGAAATCTGATACAGTGCATGGTTCAAAATGGCAAGACTTTGCAAGAGACTTATGAACTGGTTCAGGGAGCATTTTGCCTATTTTCCTTGAAGTTATGGCATCAACTGCAAAACATTTTGAACCACCTAAGTATGAGGTCATGCCAAATATCTCTTCGCTATAGTTTGCTACCAGCTCCTTTATTAGACGTCCTAGCAATTTTATACCATGGACTACTAGATTTAATTATGTGTATGATCGATGAGGTTTCATAAGATGGGCCATGGAGGTCCATTTTAGCCTTCCTCTGACTCCCCTTGGCCTACGAGACCTCCGAATCATGGCATAATAGTCATTGCAGAAGACAGACTCGGATTTAGAGATGTAATATTTATTTACATACATTAACAATACACAAACATATACTAGTAACATTTTGTTTTTGTTTTCAAATAAATGGATATCCTTTATCTCCTAGCTAGACCAAGGTGTTAAATAAATCATAATATCATAATAATCCAATATACATTTTGATGTGTGATGAACAATATTGCATTTATATATTGAAGTATCTTAATTTGTCTTCATGTAACACAATTACTCAGTTTTTACAGATACCGTGGTGTACACAGGTTTACTGCTTATAGCAAATGGGACCGAACGCCTTTGTTGAAAAAACTGATTTGATTTGATGTAAAGAAGTATATCACAAGAATTTATAAAAAGTTAACATACATGCATGTACTGTGCAAAACATGATACCGCGATTTGTTGATTGGATTCAGCAAAAAGGCTACATTTTAAGCCCCAGTCACATTTCCTTTACGGCGGCCGTAGATTTACAAAATCGATATAGAAAATCGCACGATTGCCGTCGATTAAATGTGACTGAGGCTTTACTTTTAACATTTTACACAGAGTAAGCCAGGTGTTAGTTTCAGACGTGAGCAAAGTAATACTGTCTCTTCCTCCAACATATTTCACCATCATGGTAGACTTGATAAATCTCTTTTTGGAGCTATCCCAGTTGGCCTTTCTTTTTCTTTCATAGCCCCCTCAAACTTCAGGATTCTACAATAGAATACATTATATGAGCCAGTTATGAGAAGTGAAACACGATGAATAATGACAAATTATTCTAAATTTTGTATTTTTGTAATTGACAAGATCTATCTCAGGTGGATTTGTGATTATGCATTTTTTGCAAACATTATAAAGGCTAAAATCCTTTTCCAATGGGATTATGCCAAGGAGTTAAAAACTGATAAATATGCTGATAAAAAATAAGATCTCAATTTTCAGATAAGTTTGATCCTTGACATAAATCTAAACTTATTATTATTTTTTTATTAAGAAATATTTATTGCTTCATAAAAATATCATAATATAAATCCCTTCAGCCGCCCGAAGGCATTATAGAAGGGTACATTAATAGCACAAAATACAAAATTATGATTAGGTCAAGGGGTTCACTCTGCACTTGTGGTTGGCCATGGGGTGGAAATATTAAGTGTGGATAATATAAAATAAAGTATAGTATATATAGTATGTAGGAGGGGAAAACGTTATAGGTTCATTTCAATGAATTCAGCGATTGAGGTTTGGAGATGTGAATTTAGATCAAGGGAAATATTGTCAGAGCCATGTTTCATTAAGTAAAGGAGATCATTCTGAGTTAAATGTTTATCTGATAGTCCAGTTATATTAATAATATCAGTTTTTAATTTTGTTATCTTTTCTTTAATAAGGGGACACTGAAAGAAGAAGTGTTTTTCTGTCTGGGGGGCTCCACATTTACAGTTTGGATTCTCAACATAAGTAAAGTTATGATTCATGTACTGTGTTAACTTACAATTTCAAAACCGAATTCTTTTTCCCTAACATCATAAAGAGGAAGTCGTTATAGCTTATTGATCCTCTGTCCTCTCTATCTACTTCGGCGATCATCTTCTTCAACTCAAGGTGTGTTTTGGCCTGTTCTAGCTTCTCCATCATCATCTTTAGTTCCATTAGATCTAAAAGATGTATTATCTTTGTAATCATGGCAATCACACTGTACATATTTGGACATCAAAGCATCCTCCAACCACAGGCCTCCAAACTCGAACCTCGGAAGGAACGTTGTGGAGCCCTGCGTTCGGAGGATGAAATCAATGTCATTTAGCTTAGTCGACAGAGCACGTTTTTATAATTTGTGATCGCAGCAACTACAAAAAGGGCATAACATATTTATACCTGTATGGATTGTTTCTTGTGAGAGTGTTAGTCAGTGCAAAGTTTAAGGAGACAAAAAAGCTTTCTTTTTGTCTGCGTCAGGGTAAAGTTAGTTATTACCGATTGAAGAGTTTCTAAATAGCTGAAATACGCTGACATAATAGATGTCACCCTTGTCATCCTTGTTTGTCTTTGATTTTCTTGGGCCAAACCTCCATTCATTTCAATGCTAGAAACTTGCAATAGTCACTGAATTTCATGATTTATCAAAAAGGGTTGGATTGATCTGTCTGAAACTATTGGTTGACCCTGTCAATGTACATATTGTGACTAAATATGAAAATGTTGGTTGTCATACGAATAATCCAAGGTTTTAATGAATTTTAGATGGAGATTTGACCCAAGTTATTTTAATGTCATGGAAAATTATTTAAATGACATAACATTGTAAATCAAATCTATTATTGGAGAAAACGTGTCACTGAATTCAAATGTTCTATCAAAAATAAAGAAAAGTAAGTCATTAGAGGTTAAAAGTGTAAATCTCTTAAAATCTAATGAAAAAACGAGAATTATTTAGAAACTGCTCTATCTGTATACACATATAGGTTAAGCGCAAACTTACCTATATCACCAGAGTTGTCCATGTCAAACTCCATAAATTGTTCTAAAAAGGGAAAAAACTCTTATAGAATATCTAAAATGCCTCAATATTGTTACAAAATCATGACATAAAGATTCATAGATATAACTCTATTTGGTACTTATTAATTTGTAAATGGTTAAAAAAACAATAATTTTTTCATTTGTTACATAATTAAATTTTCCATTGTCTGTTTATGACGTCACATAAATGTATACATGCTGTTATATTTTGAAAAAGACTAAGGGATATTAGTCGAAAGTCTCAATAAATTAAAAATATTCTCTGAAGTAAAGAATTTGACTTGTTTCTGATATATTAACCAGAGAGATGAACTTACATAGAAATAATTTTTGCGTTTCGTTCTCGTCTTATTGTTTTAAACAGTAAATAAAAAATCATTGTCTGAGAAAACGCTTTGTTGACCTACTTTTGTACTTGTCTAATGATTCAGCAAGATCTGGATAATCGTCTTCATCTTGGTAGTCGTCGTCTTCTAAGTATATCTACAAAAATAATGAATTTGCCAAAATGTGAATAATTGCTTCTGCTTTGGATTGGTAAAGATCATTTTAACCGAGTGTGTGACATTGGGTTTTTGATGCTCGACTTTGGATACATGAGGTCTAGTATACAGTTTATGATGCAAATAAAAGTTTCGAAGTACATGTCATATATGCTGGGTTAGATTGTCATTGTTTAAAGAGCGGGACACTCTAAACATTAGATGGAGGAAATCTAATAAACTTGTACAACATGACACAAAATGTGGTTTTAGAAATGAAAACATTGTTTTATATCAAAGTATAATGTAACTTAATTCGCGGGCCTATTGAGCATGGATCATTCCTGCCTTAGATACTGTACATTAGGGTTACATATACACCTGGCGTTCAGATAAGATATATGTCCCTCGGGATAACCACCACGTATCCACCCTTTATCGAGACCCTCAAAAACCCGTATATAGCATAGCCACTTTTAACACCCTATAAGCTGATTAATAACCAAGGGAAATTTATATTTCTTGTTTACTTTCCAAATGAAACTTTATTTATTCTATGTTATTAATTGATATTATGTTACCCTTTGGTATTTGTTCACAGAGGTTGAGTAATGAATATCCTCTCTGCAGATATTAATTACTTAATGTAATAACTCAGTCTAACGCCGAGAACCAAGACATATCTAGACTTTGCAATATTTATTTTGATATACATTGGGAAATTAAATGACATGTTTTATTTGGTCTTTGCACAAGACTAAATACCTATTTAAAAGAACTCAGTCTAACGCCGAGCTAAGAAATATCTCGACTCTGCAATCTTTTCTCTACTTTATTTTGATATATATTGGGAAATTAAATGACCATGGTTTATTTAGTCTTTGCGCAATACTTATTTAAAAGAAATGTACAAGGAAGTCAACATTAGGAAGTTTAATTCGTGTTGAGAACTTGTTGAAATTGTAGTGTTTACATGTATTTTACTCGAGCTTTTCATATAAATAATGCTTACCAAGGTCGACGTGAAATAAATACAATGAAGTCGTATTACTACTGTAATTTGATAATGTCATTATATAGGTCTCAATACCATTGTGGTAAGTGTAGAAAGTAATGTTATTAAGGTGGCATATAACCCTGTTTATTTTTTCGTGAAGCCACTCAGTAAAGTTACGATTTCTCTGCACCTTGAAGTCCAATCAAGATCATTCGAGTATCTATGAGTTCCTGACACGCTTGGGCATCCGGGAATGACAACGTCTACCCAAGTACGCCACGCCATATTGACGTAATCTATGAGTGAAATCGGAAAAGCAAAAAGGTGTGATATTCTTTCAGGATTGCTAAATGATAACTATTTACAAAAATGTCCCCGAGACTCAAATCTATTTAGGTAAGGGTTTGTTTTAAAGTCAGAAAACCCCAAATGAGACAATGCAAACCCAGAGAAAACCTGGAAGACTGCAGATTTCATGCAATGTTTTATGTTCATTTAAACAAGTAAAGTACATCTAATCCACATATAAAACACTGGCCTACGTGACATGTACTAACATGTTCAAATTGTATTATAGAACCGTTTCAATATGGCATTTGCTTCCGTGTTCTGTATATCCCTCTACCTGCTTAATAAGGCAATGTATCTTCAAATAAAACCTTAGCCAAGTATGGAACACTTTTGTTAATAGTTTTCACAAGCAATTTTGTTTGTGTATCTCAAATTTTGTCTTCCCGATTTCAGTCATATATTACGTCAATATAGCGTGCAAACACCATGTAGACGTTGTCATTCTCGGATGTCCAAACGTGTCAGGAACACAAAGATACTCAAATGATCTTGATTGGACATCAGGGTGCAGAGAAATCGTAATTTTACTAAGTTGCTTCAAGAAACAATAAACAGGGTTATAAGCCACGTTAAGCCAATAAGCAGTTTGCCCCAGTCGTGTTTCATCAGGGGGCCAAATTACAATGTCACAGTGGTACACACACAGTGGGTGAATATTAGCTCTATGGTGATAATGCACGGCGGGGAAGTAGCCCAGAATACATGTTCGATTAGAAATAGTTTACTAGGGGTCCCTTACATCCTTAATCATTATATACATATTCAATTCAACTTGGTTCATTGGTTCTGTTTAATAAAAGTGCCAAAGAACATACAAAAGTATTTACAGTACAATGACCTGTATCACAATTTTCAAATTTCCAGTACCTTATTTATTTCATCAAGATTTGCTTCTTGTTGTGCTTTGAGTGCTCCAAATGCTTTTCCTCCTGTAATAAAAACAAGTATTAATACATGCACATGAAACACTTCATTACATGGGCAACATTACGCGCTTATGTTGTTATTCACAGGTACTCACAGGTGACAGATATAAGATCTAGTATAGTGATAGTAGTGACAAAAATTGTTTCCGTTTTAGATATATTTTGGGCTCATAAAAGTCCTTGTCATGTTCTTTTTCTAAATATCAGGACAATTTTTATTACAATATTGCAGTCATTTTCTATGGTTACCATTTAAGTTATTATTTAGGAGAATTTAAACATTTCTCCCCTTTTTGCACTTTGATACTTATGTATCACGATATCGTGGATCTTTTTGGAGATATTATAATTGAGATTGTCAGGAACAGATTTGTAGGTCAATTGCCCATGTTGCTTGCAATATTGTCACTCCCTTAGATCTGATTCTACAACACAACGTTTCAATCATGTAAATAAAATATAGATATAAATACCTTGATGTTCCATATTTTTTCGATTTGAGTTATCTATATTTACAGCTCTCTAAATGTAGTAGTTCCCTTAAATGTACGTCGCGCTCGGGTCGTCGTATTCCAAAATACTCGTATACTGTGACTGCTTACAACAACACGACCTTAATGCTCAAATGCCTGTGTTAAGGTTTCTGTTTCAGATTAGAGTCATGCCAAACTTCCTTATGTGTATGTGTTATGATTGTACACTCCCCTCCAAAAACTTGGCAACCTACACTACCATTTGTAGCGTGCTCAAACCCCTTCATGCACAGGCCCGGGAACATGTATAAAAATCGAGTCGACTACACCAAGTAAAGAGATAAATGTAGGTGAGTATCAGAAAACAGAAATTATTAAAGGCCCCATATAAAGTTTAAACCACTTTGGCTTATATTGTAGTCTTACCCAATGTTATCAAAGTGTGATATGTGAAACTTTTTTTTTAAATTTCAAAAAGTGGTTTTTGATAGACTTTTTGTTCCGAAATTTGTGTATTTATTTAAAACCAACTTTTAGAGGTCACTCATATATTCTAATTAGCCACAATTCATACCAATGCATAGCATTTATCCTCCCATGTTTTTTGCCGAAAAAATTAAGAAAATCGGTTCATAAATAAGCGAGAAATGAACTTATCAGTGCATGAAAATGGTTCTGAGAAAAATGCATTTCAAAATTTTAGTTCTCATAGAAACCAATGGTACAATGATATCTAAAACATAATTTATTTTTCCTTTTAACCTGGTTAGACAATCAACATTGGTTTTTTATGAAAGCCTAGCATATTTAGGAAAGTTTGACATCGAAAAAAAAATTTCAATATTTTTCAAAAAGTTTTTGGTACCTTAGTGACATCACTAATGTTTCAAAATATTTTTGATATGCTAAAACATTGAAGTGGCCCATTAAATATGGCATTTTATTATTGAAATAGTGTGTCCTTTGTTCAATCTTTGCATTGGTGTTAAAAAGATAATCTTTTTTGAAATGCATTAAGAAATATTTGATGATTAAGAAATTTCAACTTTTTTTGAAAAATGGCGGGAAATTTGAATATTTGAAATGAAATGCTCACAACTTTTTTTCAAAAATTTTTTTTGTTCAAAAATCTCTAAAATCACTTTTTAAGTCCTGACAAATAGTAAATGAATGATAAAAAAATATTTTCAAACTTTAGACGGGGACTCTAAGAAGCCAAAAGTTTGATCGTTAATAGTACTGATTACTGCTTTTCAGTGGTTTTATCTGATTAATCTATTTACTTGGTGAATTTGAGTCGATTTTTTATACATGTTCCCAGGGCTATGCATTTATGTTTGAATTTTAGTTCCTACATAAATGAAATGATGACAAAAATTTATGCCATTTATGATTTCGATGATTTGAAATCGCCCACTTACTAAGCAGATATATATATAGGATTTATTAGTACTGATGCCCCTTTAAGGCCAAACGTACATCCGATATACAATTTTCAATAACAGCTGAGACTAACATAAAATATGTTAGTCTCAGATAATAGTAAATATAGCAATAAAGTAAAAAAATGACAATACACCCATTAGGGGAGTTGGTATTGCTAATCTTTTGGAGGGAGTGTATGTGTGTATATGTGTATGTTATGATTATGTCTAAGTCCCATATCATGTGGATATTTGGATGATGGATAAATACCGTCAGGATGATTAGAGAGGGGTGTACCATTAGCTTGAAGGTAGGGGAGTAAATTACATCGTTCTACAAAGAAGGGTCAGTTTGGCGAAAATGGATATCCGAAGAGTGGAAGCTCTTAATAGTGACGTTTTTACAGTATACAGAATTTGAAATTTCCAGTCTCATTAAAATAGTATGTCAATTTATATGTGTTATTTACAGTATATGGATCACAAGGCAATGAGTAGTTATACGTCAGTCAGGGAGCCATATTCTTAGGTTGTACCACGTTGTACCATTACGTAACCCCTTTGTTCTAAGGTTGTACCATGTTGTATGTTACGTAACGCCTGGCGTAACACCCCTTTGTTCTAAGGTTGTACCACGTTGAATGTTACGCAACACCCTTTTGTTTAGGGATCGTTGTACCTCTCTATGTTACGCAACACCCTTTGTTAAGGGAGCCATACGTCAACGTTGTACCAAGCTATGTTGCTCAACACTCTTCCCTCCCTACGTCTCCCGCTCGCCTCATTAGCTCGATAACAAAGGAGGGCGACGATTAGTGAGCCATTTAGAAAATATGGTACAACACTGTAAATGTCGTACTTTTTACGAAACCTCATCACAGTGGGATGAATAGGGAAATTCGGTCTTTCATTTTATTTAGCCTCAGCTCACCGAGCTTAAGTTTAATAAGAGTATTTTAAGGTAAGACGTGTGTTTTAGACGACTAATACCATTAACCTTTCAATTTTAACTCAAAACAATGTACATGTAAACGTGTAGGATACGCGTGTCATTTAATCGATATGTCATATGGTTTAAACGTCTGATCTTTTGAAAAGTGTAATAGAATCACTTGCGTGACATAAACAAACCATAACAAGATTAGAACATGGCTTGCTTTATATAAACTTATAGTTGGTTATACTCTATTCAATAAATAATATTGTCCCCTTGGGAAAAATGTATGGGATCATTTTATGCGAGAACTATAAACCATAAGAAGATTACACGTATAAACGGAGCTCACTCAATAGTATCCTATAATTCAAAACGTCTGGCCTTTAAATAAAAATCAATATTCAATTGGTACCACACCATAAACACTTGTATAATATCCGCCTTATAGTCAAAAAGTCTTGTGTCACTTAACTATTCTGACTAGGGTGTTTGAACGGTGAAGTTAAAAATGCAAAATAATTAAGAAATGTAGCATTGAACACAGACTGAAGTTGCAGTTTTTACACATTGGATATTTCACAATTTAGTACTAATATCTGTGAGTATTAATGTTTTAATATGTATTTATTTACTCTCTTTTCTTAATTTAGAGAGCATGGACAAATTCAAAAACGCTCAGTTCAGTATAAAAACATTTTTAAAATCATTGCAGGAGGCTACATTATAATTAATCAACTATTTACATTTTTCATTTAAATGAAACGTTAAGTTGAAATCTATCCCGATACCAAAAACTTATTTGCATTACGATATCATCGATTAAAAAGTATGACACTGTCTTGGGCGGGTAAAATATCAATAAGTGAAAGAACTGAACAAATTTATGCTTTATAGTGAATATGGATAAAGAAAAGGTTTATTGTCAAACTTGTGGCAAGTCATTCTCAAGTGTGCGTTCTCGAAACAGGCACAGGAGAGCTCAACACACAGACAAGACATATTCCTGTCCTACGTGTTTAGATGAATTTGACTATTCCCATTCCAGGGATAGACATGCAAAGAAATGTGCCAAAGGGAGGTGAGATGTGAAAAGCTACAACACTTATTTCTGTTTTATGATAATTTGCTGTTTTAAACATACAGGCGCAAGATGTGATTAACAAGTGTAAACTGTGACAAACTGAAACTATATTATTAACATCCATGATTTCAAGAACATGAAATTAACGTATAAAACTAATTGTTGAAATTCAAATTGGAACGTTTCAAAGTATAAACAAGCCTTCGAATGCTTGTTCAAATTCAACGAGAATGTAGAATGAGTGGTGTATCCTTTTAAAGTAACTGTAGGAATGGGATAACATGATAGTTTGTTGGTCTTATTATGTACACGTGTTAATAAGTATTTTGGGATGCTTTATATAATCGTTACATTTAAAGTTCCACGTACTTTTTTAATTGCAGTAATAAAGAAAATAACCCAGAAGCTAGCCCTATCCCGCGACAACATGAGCGAAAACGACGGGCATCTCCGACACAAAATAATAGAACAATAAAAATCCTGAAAGATGGTCGAATACGGTAATAGGTCCACAGGATGGAACATGAAAAACATACTACATTTATATTTGGTTTAGCAGCATGAATAAATGAGCAATTAATCGAAGCCTCGAAGCACAAGATAAAGATCTTATATTTATTAGTATCTGTAAGCTGATTTGTAGGATCGGAAGTTATGACGTATAAGAGTATTTGAAGTCCTCTTGTGTTTTCAGACTTAATGAAAGAAAATCTAGACCGAGCATTGGCGCAGGTGCAAAACAATTACCTAGTACTGATCCTTTGCCAAGTATTTCTGGCAATAATTGTGACAATGTGACAAGGTAAGTTAGATAAATAAAGTTGGCAGCAATATCTCATCCACTTACTATTAATTACATCTAATATGTTTGATATGTAGAAACATTAAAATATTGGAGAAACCATCACTAAATGTAGACTAAGTTTAATAAATAAGTTCTCAATTTACCAACGTTTCAAATCGATTTTAATTTTAATCTCACAATATTTGCATTCAGGCTAAATGACCCATCCAAAAATTCACCCTACCGTGCAAAACCTACTAGATGCTCAACGTCGGGTCAAGATGACATACGATCCTCAAACGATCCATCAACTCAAACGTGAGTATTAGAAATACACATTTCCACTGTGATTTTGATATGAGTACTCGACATTATGTTTATATATCCTATTGATCTATATTAAAGAGCAAGAGCCTTTTGTTTATTGATAATCAAAGCTCGTTTGCATCCAGGTTAAACGTTCCCCTTACACTACCCTCTGCAACCCCCCTGCAAACAATCAGTTCCACGATTCAAGATGGCGTAGTCACCCAGAAATCACAGTGAGTACAAACAATAATATTTCGAATTCTCCATTTATATATTCTTCTGTGCACATGCCATTGAAATAATTTGAAGTAATCAAAATGAAATAAATAAGAATAATAAACGTTCATTCAAATACATTCTACATATTTGAAATCAGTGAACTGCATAGTACATATAAGTAAAAGTAACAGGACAAGTGGAAACGGACAGACATACACCGACTAAGTTTCTAATAATTATAGAGAGCTGGAGGATCTTGTTCTGAACATGTCGGCGTCAGCATGGGATGAAATAGATCTAGATTTTCTGGATGACAGTGCTGCTAGTATCTCCCCCTTATTAGACGTCAGTTTCAACTTTGAATTTGATGACCAGTAAGTGCGCAAACAACAATAAATTAAAGTAAATATGAATGCAAATAGTATAATAAAATATTTTATAATGAAGTCTACTTTGTCACAACTGGCGGACCACACAAATATTTTTATCGGATGTTGGTAATCATTTGGTGATGGTTATAATTACAACTTCCAATTTTTAGACTCGGTGGCGCTGAAATTGAGCG